TATGAATATATGTATATTGTATAATTTTATATATCAACAAACAGTATTGAAAAAAAGTGACAAACTGGAAATATTTTTTGTGACGTATTTCATCCGTTAGGATTTCATCAAACTGGGATTTCTTGACGTTTCCACGTCTGCACATGCGCACGAAACGTGAGACGCAGTTTTATATTTTTGAAAGAACATTTTTTTTTCTCTCTGAAAGAATATTTATTTCTTTTTTCAATCTCGCCAAATACATCTGTTTTCTTTTTATCACCTTTGTTCTTGACTATCCCACACTGTGACAACATAAAATCTACCAAGAATGGTGATATAGTGTCACATTACAATAAAGACAAAAACTGTCCAACATTTGTATATTTCTCTTATTAGACTGGTCGTCGATCTAAGCTTTCGGCTCACACGAGCCATCATCAAAGTGGTTGTATGGACATTATAATAGAGATGTTCACCGTCAAAGATGACATACTGTTTTGTTTACATAGAAATTTGCTATGTGACGATAACTGTCGCAGAATAGGAGACGCAGGTCGTAAATTCGTAATGTGGCTCTTTGACGTCGTGAGAGAATGTTTTTTTTTGTAATATTAATAATATAATATGTTTTGTTTATTGATCTTGTATTCAAATTATATTTATTTCCTAATTTAATTAAATTAAAACGCTTAAATTACTCTCAAAAGTTAACAGCAAAATATATAAATCTGAGTTTTTCCAAATTAGTCGCAATATGCCCAGATACATTAATTCTCTTAATTTTTTTCCACTTTCTAAATATATATTCCCCTTTCTTTCCTTAAAACCCCTAATTTCTTACATCTTTACTTCTTTTTTCTTTCTATATTGTTTTCTTTTGAGATGACCTGTATTAAACAACATTTACCGGCCTGAATGTCCGAGAAATTTTCACAGAAAATATTCGTTCTCCGACAATTTCTTGGACATTCAGGCCGGTAAATGTCGTTAATACTGTTTATTATAAACAGAGCATTTACTTAAATATTTGTATCTATAGAAAGAACGTATAAACATAAAAAATGTCTTAAAATAATTGTCGGACTTTGTCCATTTCATAATGTGTGACGTCATTATATATATATATATATATATATATATATATAAATAAAATACTTATATATGGCAGAAATACCTCCCACATAATAAGACATTAGTGGCAATGATGTCATCATCTAGCTAATGTTTATCCTTATGTAGGAGGCATTTCTGCCGCACCATATATAAGATAGAGAGAGAGAGACAAGGAAAATTTTGAATGCGTATGTGGTTGAATGTTAGATTGAATCATAAGTAATTTTAGGATCCAATTGTAATGACGAATTGTATCTTAACTACTTGACAGTTAAGAATAAATTTTGCAGTACCATAACATACCTTACTTTTTCGACAGTAGTAGCAGCATACACAGTGGATGAAAAGAAAAAAATTATTTTACTCCATGATAACGCAAGGTCAAATACAGTAAGAATAAGTTAGGAAAATAGTTTGGAAGTCGGTTAGTGTGTTCACTACAACCCGCCATATCCACCAACCGATGATTATTGCAAAAGATTATCCTATTATAATTGGGCTTGTCCCCACCTTCGCTAGTTAGCACGACCATTACGCTTTGTACAATACCCCATAGATAATGGACTATTCCGCGTTTTGATTGCGTGGAAAGAGAGGAAAATTATTTGGTTTGAGAGAGAGAGAGAGAGAGAGAGAGAGCGAGAGAAAAATGGAGAGCGAGAGAGAGAGAATCATTTGGTTGATAAAAACGGATACTACAAAGGCCGAGAAATCATGGCGACAGCGATATAAGCGGCATGCTCAGTTATCGAACGATGGAAACCGATTAAAGCAATCACCAAAAATCCAATTACCATAAATTAAATAAAATAACACCGTCTGCTGAATTATTTTAAAATTATTATTAAGAGAAATGTTTGTAATGTTTTGTTTGAAAGAAAGAAATAAGGGAAGATAAAAGTATTTAATGTCTCTTGCCAGTACCTCATAAATAATGGACTATTCCATTTTGATTACGTGGAAAGCGAATGAAAGATACAACTTGGTTTCAGTGAGAAAATCAAAGAAAAAAACACGAAAGATAGAAGTGTTTAACAACCGTTTCAATCAAATGGAAAAAGTTGTCAGTTTCAAATCTTTTCATTTGTATCCCCTTACTTCTTAAAATAATGACCAGCATTCATATTTATGATTGTTATTGCAATATTTTGTTAAAGTTGTTAAGCTCAAATATTTAGCGATGTGATAGGGGAATGTCTATAGATATTTTATTGTCTCCGAACTTGCTATGAACTCATTCAATCATTAACTTAGGGATTAAAACTCATCAAAAATTGAAATAGGAAAAACCGTGGAAATTTTCACGCGTCTTTCTTATGAATATATCTCTAAATAAATAAACGGGGAAATCTGTCTGTCCGTCCGTGTGAGTGAAACCTCTCTAAGTCGGGCCACACTTGCTCTACATAGATATATTATAACTTTTCGGAGTCAGGATGATCCCGAGATTGAAAACTTGAACGTCATCTGATTCTTGAACATCCATTATTGCGAGTTGTGTCTGGATGACGATTGAACAGTTAAATATTTTAAAATAATTGACAAAAAAAAAAAAAAAAGAAAAAAAAAAAAAGAAGTGATTTTAAAAGTTTTTAATTTGAGTTTAAAGTAACACGAAAACTTTGTGAATTTGAAATTTGTTGATTTAAATTCAGTTTAAAATATCTCCAAAACTTTGTGAATTGAGGAAATCAATTTCATTTCTTCAAAATCAGAAATTACATGAGAGGTTTCGTGATGTAAGTTTTTCAAGTTCCGCGAGTTTTGTAATTTGAAGAACTCAACAATTGAAATTCCAATTTTCGGTCTGAATTGGAATTCCGGTCCAAATAGGTATTTTGGTCGGAATTGGGCTTATAGCGAAATTTTGAAGTTCCATGGAGTAAATTGAAGAATTCATAGTTATTTCTTCAATATTACCATTGCTGTTTTCTTAGCTAGACCAGAGGTACCTTAAGTTTCGGGCACGGAGTGCGGCTTTGAATCTACTAACTCAATAAAATGTAATATACCCTTATATTTTGTTGAATAAAACTGGTAAATGAGAGGGGAAATTATTTATGACTCAACCTAATCTGATCACTAGACAGCCCAGAACAGATACGCAGCTGTTTCGCCGAATTTAATAGGCATCCTGAAAATTGCGGGGTTTTCTGCATTTATCTCTTTTGACCCTCACACAGAACCTCCCAATTCATTAAACACTGCGATTACTGACAGAGTCGTAGGCATTCAACAACTGTAACTTGGTGTAGGTAATAGCGTGCAATGATCGTTGCAACAAATCACTATGCCTATCAATATGACTCTGTAGGTTGAGTAGCTACTGTTCTGTTTGAAAGAAGATGCATTACGTCCTGATGTAAGGTTGGGAATATATGACCCCGTGAATCATGATGCATTCGTAGCATTGAGAATGTCTTTGAAAATGGTTTGAAGTCTGTGTGCAGTGAGTAAAGAAACGCGATATCGATTAGGAAGTCCTAGAAGCAAACAAAACCGACTGCGATTCCCGCTTTATTATTTGGGAAGCTCTAAAAATGTCGGTTCTATATCCTATGTAAAATGAATGATGTAAAATCTGTTGAACGGAATTTACGAGAATAAAGTTCTTTTCATATCGACAAGAAAGGAAAAGAAAAAAAAAGGGGGGAAAAGGAATAAAACAAGCGAGGGGAGAAGAGAAACACAAAGTAACGAGAGAGACACACACAAAAAGTAACACGAGAGAAAGAGAGAGACACACACAAAAAGTAACGAGAGAGAGAGACACACACACACACACACAAAAAGTAACACGAGAGAGAGAGAGACACACACACAAAAAGTAACACGAGAGAGAGACACACAAAAAGTAACACGAGAGAGAGACACACAAACAAAAGTAACAGGAGAGAGAGAGAGACACACAAAAAAAAGTAACACGAGAGAGAGAGAGACACACACAAAAAAAGTAACACGAAGAGAGACACACACAAAAAGTAACACGAGAGAGAGAGACACAAAAAAAAAAGTAAGAGAGAGAGACAGAGACACACAAAAAGTAACACGAGAGAGAGAGAGACACACAAAAAGTAACACGAGAGAGAGAGAGAGACACACACACAAAAAGTAACACGAGAGAGAGAGAGACACACACACACAAAAAAAGTAACACGAGAGAGAGAGACACACACACACAACACGAGAGAGAGAGAGAGAGAGAGAGAGAGAGAGAGAGACACACACACACACACAATGTAACACGAGGGAGAGAGAGAGAGACACACACACACACACACACACACAATGTAACACGAGGGAGAGAGAGACACACACACACAATGTAACACGAGGGAGAGAGAGACACACACACACAAAGTAACACGAGAGAGACACACACAAAGTAACACGAGAGAGACACACACAAAGTAACACGAGAGAGAGACACACAAAGTAACACGAGAGAGAGACACACACACAAAGTAACACGAGAGAGAGAGACAGTAAAAAGAGAGAGAGAGATTCAGTAAAACGAGAGAGAGGGAGAGACAGTAAAACGAGAGAGAGAGACAGTAAAACGAGAGAGAGAGAGACACACACACAGTAACACGAGAGAGAGAGACACACACACAGTAACACGAGAGAGAGAGAGACACACACAAATTAACACGAGAGAGACACACAGTAACACGAGAGAGAGACGATATTCAGTCACCCCCCCCACGAAGGTGTCATGTGGCACAAAGGCCTTTTTAACGTGGGCATTTCCGAGCCATTAGGCTCGGCCAAAAAATAGCCCATTTGAACCCGTATAAACGGGTTCAGGGCTGATTTACCTCCCCGAAGGAGACTCCCGCCCTTCGGCGTAGCCTCCTTCAGGTTCCCCTGCCCGTAGGGAAGAGAGTTCAAACCGAGCAGTCTGTTCAAAAGTGAACTACTGACTGACACGAGAGACACGAGACGAGAGACACACACACACAGTAACACAAGAGAGAGACACACACACACACAGTAACACGAGAGAGAGAGACACACACACACACAGTAACACGAGAGAGAGAGAGAGAGAGACACACACACACACAAAGTAACACGAGAGAAAGAGAGAGAGAGACGCACACACAGTAACACGAGAGAGAGAGAGAGAGAGAGACGCACACACACAGTAACACGAGAGAGAGAGAGAGAGAGAGACGCACACACACAGTAACACGAGAGAGAGAGAGAGAGAGAGAGAGAGACGTACACACACACACAGTAACACGAGAGAGAGAGAGACACACACACACAGTAACATAGAGAGAGAGAGACGCCCACAGTAACACGAGAGAGAGACGCCCACAGTAACACGAGAAAGAGAGACACACACAGAGAAAGTAACGAGAAAGAGAGACACACACAGAGAAAGTAACGAGAAAGAGAGACACACACAGAGAAAGTAACGAGAAAGAGAGAGAGAGACACACACTCAAAGTAACGAGAGGGAGACACGCACAAAGTAACGAGAGGGAGACACGCCCACACGCACAAAGTAACGAGAGCGAGAGAGAGGCACGCACAATGTGACGAGAGAAACAGATACAGAGAAGAGATGTGGATGGAAGATTCATCGATTGAGTGTGTGTGTGTGTGTGTGTGTGTGTTAGGGAACGAAAAGATGGGAGACACGATAAAGGTTTTGTTTGGTCGAACACTATGAAAAGGGTTAAGAGGTAATTCTTATCTTCGGACATGAAAATTATTCACAAGTTAAAAAATAACTTTTTGTAATATTAATATTACACGAGAAGGAATTTGAATAATTATTCATTCGTGGAGAAATCTAGAAGATCTCTGATGAACCTTGTGTTTCACAGGTGTAATATTTAATTCTAAATATTTTGCCTTCGGTGCTTTATGTGTTAGACTCGCAGGTTGTGAGATCATATGGCAAAAAGGGGAGGTGGATAGGAATGGTTTCGTCAGATATTTATATACGGTATTTTCTTCGCCCAATTTGTAATTGAATTATGACGAAGAAATGGAGGTTAACCTATGTACGTTATATTGAAATAGAAAGTGGAAAATGAAGTAAAAGAGGGATAAAGGATAAAGAGAGAAACGAGGAAAGGGATAAAAGAGAGACTTAATAGGAGGAGATAGGTTTACGTATCGCCCGGTTCACGCTCTTCTCCGGGCTTTTGAGCAGGAATAGAGATTTATACCTTGTTTCTTGATCCGGATTGAGTCATAGTGGCATTATTGCTTTGCTTAGGGTGAATTGATTAAAAGAAAACAAAGAAGAGAAAGACGAGAGAAAGGAAAGAGAAAGACGAGAGAAAGGAAAGAGAAAGACGAGAGAAAGGAAAGAGAAAGACGAGAGAAAGGAAAGAGAAAGACGAGAGAAAGGAAAGAGAAAGACGAGAGAAAGGAAAGAGAAAGACGAGAGAAAGGAAAGAGAAAGACGAGAGAAAGGAAAGAGAAAGACGAGGAAAAGAAAAGCGAGGAAATACAGAAAGTATGGTGGTTGTGTTATATCCTGTGAGAATCGACGTTGCTACATATACGATTAGTTTTTGAGATTCATCCAGTTCACTTTTGATTTGATGACAAGTCAAATTGGCAAAGATCTCTTGAAAGGGGGAGATATGAAATGTTTTGGGTTCGAAAACATGCTAAAAAGAGAATTCATCAGAGAAGAAAGAGAAAAAAAATGGCAGAAGAGAACTGGAATAACTTAAGAGTGTCAGGGAAGAAAGCGGGGAAAAAGAAGAGAATGAGAGCCGAGAGAGAAAGAGAATCAAAGTTGTGAAAAGAGGAGAGAGAGACAGGGTGAGGTAAAAGAGAAATTGAAACAGAGAGATGAGAGAAATAAAGACAGGAGAGAGAGGGAAAGAGAGAGAGAGAAAGAAGAAGAGACGGTGAGCAGAGAGAGAGAGAGAGAGCGAGTGGAAAATACAAACTGTGAGGAGAAAGAAAGGGAAAAGACGAAACTGTGTGCAGAGAGATAGACGGAGAGAGAGAGAGAGATAGACGGAGAGAGAGAGATAGACGGAGAGAGAGAGAGAGATAGACGGAGAAAGAGAGAAAGGGGAAAAAAGGAGAGACTATGAGCAGAGAGAGAAAGGGGGAAAAAGGAGAGACTATGAGCAGAGAGGGAAGGGGAAAGATGAGACAGAACAAGAGAGAAAAGCAAAAAGAATAGTAAGCATGGAGAGAGAGAGAGAGAGAGAGAGAGAGAGAGAGAGAGGGGGGGGGGACAATAGACTGAGCAGGAAAAAAAGGAAATATCTCGGAACAATGAGAGAATTCAAATGAAGCAGAAAAAAAAAAAAACCCCAAAAAACTGTCAGCAGGGAGAGTGGGCAAAAAAGGAGTGGGTGCATAGCGAGAGAGAACGGTGGTAAGAAATAGTAAAGAATTAAAAAAAATATGGAAAAGTGATACTAACAACCATGGAAAATGAAAATAAAGACTTAACTCTGAAAAGTCCGCATCTCATCGTGTTTATACTATAAAATGTAAGTAAATGTAAAAAAAAAAAATAAAAAATGCATGTCGTCCATTTTGGTATTTTTCCCTGGTGTGATAAAAAGTGAGAAAATTGGAAAAAAACCCCCCAAAAAACAATAAAAATGATATCAATCACAAAAACTATCATCGCTGGAAAGATGAATAAATAGTCAGGTGACCGGACGGACGCTACAAACTATGTCGCGATAAAGATTGATAAATAAATAATAAAATCTAAGGTAGATGAGGTGATATTGGGCATTCGATGAATGATCAAGCCAACAGATCGATATGAGAAAAGTTTGGACCATACAAGAGAAAAGGAAGGAAAAAAACAACATAGTAAATTTATAAAGGTTCAGGATATTGGAATATAAAGAAGTTATACATCTCAGAGTTAGTGCTGCTAAAAAAAAAAAAAATCTCGGCTCGAATTGACCAAGTTTTTTGAATCCTTTATTTGTTAGTCCGAGAAATCTTCAGAAATCCCTTTATGAGAAGAGAGAGAGAGAGAGAGAGAGAGAGATTTCCAACTGAGATTTAGCGCTGGAATCAATAGTCGAGTGGATATACCAGCCGTTTTTTTCTGCTAGTAATTTTTGACGGTGTCCTACTGCGTAGTCCATATTGGAGGATTCTTCCTAATGTTAACCTCGAAACTTTTATTCAAACTTTTATTCGTTGCCGACAGCGAGATGGCAATATTTGCCGACAGACAGATGATCCCCGTTGCCGACAGACAGATGGCAATATTTGTCGACAGACAGCTGATCCTCGGTGCCGACTGTCATATGGCAATATTTATCTACAAATAGATGCCAATATTTGTCGACAGACAGCTGATACTCGTTGTCGACAACCAGATGGCAATCGTTTTTATAGTTATGCTTTGCCACTATGACTTCTTGTGAGAAATTCAACCATTTTCTCTCTCTCATATATATCACCCACTTGATTTAGATTGTCACCATTCAATATTATAAGATCTCCTACTTGATTGAAAGACATGTATTCTGTTTTAACTTGATTTGTATGTAATCCAACTTTGTGCAGCAGCAGCAGATACTAATCTGAGAAGAAATATTTGTGATGGTGAAAGATCTTGGATAGAAGAACGAGGTCATCTACAAAATGGCAAAATATATGGGAAACTAAGAACACATTCTGTGAAAGGTGATTGGGGTTTATTGGTCATTGCTTGAGAAGTAAACAAGGAAATTGTGCATTAGCTCACATTATGCGATTCAAATTACGAGAATAGATTAGAGTTAGATCAGCAAGCACCTTCAATCAAATTGTAAAATGTCATCGGAATAAGAACGAACTGGGTAGAGCTGTGTGACAGAAATTGTTGGTTGGGGTGTTGTGGTCAGAAATCCTCGGCTGAGGACCAGATATAAACTCAGATTGGTGTTGCGCTTCATGGTCGAAAAATGAATTTCTCTTTCAGACATTTCGACAGAATTATCATCGCATGTAGACATATTTTTTTTAAGGATTTCACTCCAAGAAAAACGATAATGCCATTAAGACGCAAGGGATTACTTACAGCGAAACAGAATGAGAAGACTTTATTGAGGAGAAAGGACAATAAAAGAACAGGTTTCAGAAAAACAGAATATGATGATTGTCGTTGCATTTAAATCTTTGATGGTCGTAAGCGACAGAGAAGCAAGTAATCGAAAGACAAGCGATAAGTGTAAGAAAAGAAACTCTTAGAATAGAACTTCTGGTTACATCTAGCTAGTTCAACAATCAAACAATGAGACCTAATTGCCACTCTGGTTGTACGCTTAAATTTACGCAGTCGAGGTAATAAGGAGAGCTCATTAGAACAATTGCTATGAAAATTTTTTGTTATATACGAATAAAGTGTCACTGCCGACACTTGAGTTTGAACATAGATCGCCAGAGAACAAACAGGCGATCCCATTATTGAATTAAGTGGATCACGTGACCATAGAGGAAACGCATGTAGGAAGTAGTTGACGACTAACTATCGTCATTTCTAGTCTGTCCTCTATTACTATACGGATCGCTATTTTCTACTCTATTCACTACACAGATTACTATTCGAGCGAGTATTATTGAGCGAGTACTATTAGTGTGAGTGATATTCGAAGGCGTCTGCCACCAGTATTGTCCAACGGCGTACTATAGTTGTGACTGCGATTACAAAGTCTCTACTACAAGGAGAATTTCATAAGTGACAGCGAGTATTCGTTGATATCACAAAAATATTTACAGATAAGACAGAGGGAAGCCGTACCACGGCTGTTGAAAAGTGACTGAAGTCGAGATGCCAGGTCAGGGCCTGTACTATTACAGACCCTTTATTAGATTTGTCGAGAATCTCAAGATGTAAGATTGAGTAGCAGACCAGATATAGCAGCGATATTCAATCCATGATTTTAAAAAGTAAATTTATTCCTTTCATGTGAGAATTGTATTAACAGTATAGACAAAAATCCGAGTATCCTGGGTAAGACGATAAACTACGCCCGACAGCAAGGACTTTGATCAGATGACTTTGAGAAGTGTGGAACCCCCTCTTAATTGCTGATGTTCCCAGGTCCACCCTGGCCCTGGGTTGGTAGCACCTGTTAGGGTCCCAGCTATGGGCAAATAGTTAATTCCCAAAATGCGGTCAAAATATTATGAAAGTGTAAAAAATAGGTTTTAATACCAGCAATACATTTTTGTAAAAAAAATATTACCAGTAATAAAAATCTCGTTGGCATTAAATAACCCATTGAGGTGTTGACATGCCGTAAAACAAACCAACCCTTAAATTACTAGTGTGCAAAATATACATGAATAGATTCAGAAGTCTTATCTACTACAAGATATATTTATCCGGTCTCCCCACCAAAGCTGGATGTGACACAAGGTTGTTTTACCGTGGGGAGCGCCGTACACATACTTATGTATATGGGCCAAAGACAAAAATTGATTTTTGCCCAATTTCCCCGACCACAGATATTGGCATTACACTGATCCAACCTCTTAAGTACGATGGGGAAGGTGCTGCCGCAGGGATGGAAGCCCCGGGGTTGAGCAACTTATCCCATCTAAAATGAAGACAAATATAGCTCCGCTTACAGCACAGTAAACCCTC